CTCTCTTGAATAAGACCAATTTGAGACTCAACTTCGCGCGCGTTGCGTGGTGTCTGCGCCTGCCAGGCGGCTACCTGTTGCGGTGATTGTACAGGTGTCTGCACCACCACATCAAGCTTAGATAGCACAGCCTGTGGGTCGTGTGGGACTAGACCAGCGCCTCTAAAGCTAGCTTGGATATTCTCCTTCGTGATAGACTGCTCAAAAGCAGTCTTAAAGGCTGGTAGGAAGGTCTCTTTGCTGATATAGTGGGTGCGGTTGCGTGCTAAGCCTGAAATAGCGTCGCCATACTTGCGCTTCAACGGCGAGAAGCAAGCGACGTCAAGGGGCTGCAACAGGTGAGACGAGTGCGCAGGCATGCAGAGAAGCATTATATTCTTCTCCTTGCAAAGATCTTGGAAATCGACAGAGCAGTGGCTCTCATGGCCATCGATAATGAGCAGTTGATACCCACCTATAGTAGAGCTCTTTGTATGGGTATCAAAGTGCTCTAACTAGGCAAGACTAAGCTAATTATTTGTCTAGCCATTAGGACTGACTTTAAGAACCTAGTTAGCAGGCAAATCCTTAAACTAAACGTTGATAAGCACCTTGCCCGCAAAGACAACAAAGGGTGGTATTCAGCGACCCAACGCGCCCACGCCTTAGATCACAGTAACCCACTCACGGTTGCCTGGCTATATCCGCTTCTTTTTCCTATATCCTTCTAATGCTGTAATAACTAACTATAATAAAATCTTGCCTATCATAAAGCCAGTCTCGTCAAAGTTATAGATATCGTCGTCCACAATACCCCACTTCTGCTTTGTCGCCTGGACTAAGTCGAACCAACGCTGGATAGCCACTGGATCCTCGCAGGCGGCTCGCTGGTGATCATAGGGACGGCTCTAGCGCGTACGGAGCTTAGGAGTCCGCTTAACGAAGTTGTCAACCTAGTTCTTGCCAACAGGGTTGCCACCACGCTCCTCCAATAGTTTATTAGCTATTACTTAAACGTCAAGCTTTGTAGGCGCAAATCCTCGCGTAGACTCTTTAAGAATACGCTCAACTATAGCCTCCTCTTCTAGCTTATCTAGACGCTTCGATTTCAGCTCGCAGTCGCGTTAAGGGCGCTTTCTAGCGCGTTGATCAGATAGAGTTCTTTGTAGGACGTTGTAGATAGTAGTAGCACAGTTTACACTCTAAACACGTTGCGACTAGACGTTAAAAAGAGCAAGTTAAACATTAGATTTAGAATATATTAATAGACGGTTGCGTTGTTGAGACATCACGCGTTATAGTGATGAAGTTGATGGGCTGGTGGGGCGTTAGCGACTCGCTTGGGTTAGCGACTCACTTGTGAACCACGTTATATACAGTGCCCGTGCACCAGATGAGCACCATCGCCAGTTGAGCACCCCCACCACCACAACAACAAAACTTCAACGCGTCAAAACTCAACCAATATGGACCCGATTCAAGAAGCGATTGCAGAAATCGAATCGCGAGAACCAGGAGATAAATTCTCGTATCAAGCAATCGCGAAAAAGCATGGTGTAGCACGAATGACGTTGATGAGACGACACCG